AAGCCGCACACTACCGCCAAGCTCTCCGTGCCTTCACACTAACACACCCTTCAACACACACTACCAAACTGGATGGACAACTGCATTAACAAACTGGAAATAGAAAGTAACAACGAGTTGGGATTAAAGGTTATAAAAAAATGTCGTTATTGGAGCCGTATATCCATGCTAGGACCCGTGCTAGCTTTCTGGTCCCTAGCACTTCACGAGGCAAGATTTGCAGGCATGACCGAAGAAATGGTTACTAGACTTCAACCCCAATAAGTGCACGGTCATGAAGACGGGATCACCAGTAGGAAGACACGATGAACAATATACACTAGAAAGAATAAAAGATTTGCTACAAGACTAAATCTAAAAACCGGAAGATAGAAAAACAGAGAAGAGGTCATAATCCAGACATACAAAATACTCTGGAAAAAAGAGAGACAGGACGTGTAGGTTTTACCAGTAGTAATACAATTATATGCCTGGGAACTAAACAAGCTGGTTAGCGACGGGGAGGGTATAAAACCTTTAGTTTTTGTGTCAGCTCTGAGGGCCGAGCTTGTTACTCAGCGTCACTCATCCTGCGAGCGAATGTTACGTCAGTGTGAATAATGGCACTTAAGGGAGCATATCACCTAGAAGCATGTCACCTAGAAGGTGACTTCAGTATCTTTCAGAAGACAGTAGAGGCGACTTCAATTCAGTTTTAACAATTGATTACACGAGACAAGCAACAGCTGGGAAAACAGAGACCAGGAGATAAAACTCGGTCCTGCAAACTCTGCAAGGTAAGATATGAATGTTCGGGAGATATTATTAGGTAAGTCCTGATGCACACATACAAACTAATACACCCATATACACACACACACACGCTAACATACACACACACACACACACACACACACGCTAACATACACACACGCTAACATACACATACACACGCTTACACACAAAAGTAACAGACACAAAATGACACATAGAGAGTAACAACACACACACACACACACACACACACACACACACACACACACACACACACACACACACACACACACAGGAAGAACAAAGGCACCCTGCACCCGTGCACACACACAAACATCACCAGGGTGTTAGTGTTGAGGACGACCCAACACATCAGAGCCGCGACGGAGCAGCGAGCGCTCTGGCACAACACAGAGAACGGAAAAAAAAACAGGAAAGCGATAACCTGTTGGAGGAAACAGCTGTAAAGCCCGCGCTGTTGACCCATTTGCGGCGCGTCCAATTACCGGAGCCATGATTAATAGCGTGGACCAGACCCTACTTACCCGGACCAGACGAGCGCGCCCAGCGACACTCCTCCACAACATGATAAACATCGTTACCTGTCGCAACTACCACACACACACACACACACACACACACACACACACACACACACACACACACTCAGGAGCAAGAACCCAAGTATAGGCCAATAACCAGAACAGCGGCAGTGCTCACGAAGAAACGCAAGACACAAATTGAGATACTTGGGAAGAAAACTAAGTAGGGAAGCAAGACAGCTACACCCAGTACCGAGCTCGCGTCCCCAGGGCCTCTCACACCCGTCTCAGACACGTGGTAAGCACCTGGTTGAGGTCTCAGACACGTGGTAAACCTTCGAGAAGTGTGTGTGGTGAGACACGCCATCTCAGATTGAGGGTACCTGCTCAAGTCAGTAATCTTAAGTCAGTAATCTTATAATACTCCCAAACCACGTAACAAGCCTGACCTTAACCACGTCAGTTTATCCATTACGTAATTAAACACAAATGTAATATTTAGTACAAAAAAATTACTTGTTATTATTTAATATAAAATATACAAGATGATAACAAATTTAATACAATGCCTGCAGCGTCCTAATGCTTGTAAATCCTCACAGTGTGTTTGGCGTCCTAGTGCTTGTAAATCCTTAGGGTGTGTTTGGCGTCCTAGTGCTTGTAAATCCTTAGGGTGTGTTTGGCGTCCTAATGCTTGTAAATCCTTAGCGTGTGTTTGGCGTCCTAATGCTTGTAAATCTAAAGAATATTATATATATATATATATATATATATATATATATATATATATATATATATATATATATATATATATATATATATAATACCTGTCTAAATACAGGCACTGGTGTGGTATACTTATGCTCGCGCCTATGTATCCCCTCCGATAATTCAGAGTGTATCATGTTGAACAAAATGTTGAAATGGGTAAAGGTTGCAAGGTTAAGTTTGGTGGTCGGAGTAGACCCCCGCCAGACCACCCCAACGCCACAAAAGCTTTACCTCCTGTTGTCCTGAGCCTCTGTAATTAACGCTAATCTTCCACCAGCTTCAAACCTAAATTACTTTGATAAAACACTGGTTTAATACACAAAAACCCACAATAACTCGGTAATGATGAACATAAATCGGTGAGTGTTGCAAATACTCCCCCCCCCCTATTGCAACATTTGATGTGCTCAGCGTTCGGCAACAGTGAAGTTGAGCTCAGCGCACCTGGTTGCAAGTCAACAATATCAACATCAGCTCGACGGTGTTTTGTCATTAATTGGAGAGCAGATACAGTGTAATCCCCGCTGTCACGGCCAAATGATTTTTATTAATTCTTCACTCGGACGAAATAGCCAGTGAACCCCGCACTACACAACACAGGTGCGGCTGGAGGAGTGAACCCCCCGTGGGTGAACAACCCGTCCTCGACTCAAGTCCATTACATCCAGCGGTCAACCCCACAGACGCATTCATAAATTTTAACATGCTGTTCATTCAAAACGGGAATTTTCGCAAGTATAAATAAATATTATAATATATTAGCATATTGTGTATATATAGGCATAGGATAGGTTAGGTTAGGTGTTTAGGTTCTGTTGGCGATTATTTGTATTTGTAGTACGTGGGTGAAGCATTTACAGCGTTGTGGTTCGAACAAAATTCGTCAGTGAAGCACTTGTTCCGGATATGTTCGAACGTCAGCAGTTGTGAGTCGTGTGTAAACCTCTTTTCATTCATAAACAGGGGGTTTGGCGGGTGCATGGAATCACTTTTGGATCTTTGTTTGGAGGACGGGCTGAGCATTTACAGTGTTGGGGTTCGAACAAAAGTCGTCAGCGAAGCACTTGTACCGGAAGTGTTCGAACGTCATCAGTGTGAGTCGTGTGTGTGGAAACCGTTTTTCATTCATAGACAGCTGGGGTTCGGCGGGTGAAGGGTGAGGTAGAGGCAGTGTGAAGGTGAGCCACGGTGAGGGTAAGGTGGGGTGGGAGGGAAAGTGAGAGTGAGACAAGGGGGAGAGTGACGTAGGGGGTAAGTGAGAGAGAGCGAGCCAGGGAGAAGGTGAGAGTGAGGGGGTGAAGCAGAGAACACACTGCCACCACCAGCTGTTGATAGTGTCAATACTCCAGCTAAAAGCTCTACCTTCATTACTTGACTCCCCCCAGCCCCCCTCCCCCCTTTCTCCTCTCCGCGTTGTTCTCCCTCCAGGAAGGGGATAAGGGGGTCGATGGGACCCCCCCCCATCTTAAGGGGGGGGATCCTTAAGCAACGGGAGTTACCGGAAGTTATGTAACGTCTTAAGAGCTCCTGGAAGATGCGGGTTCTTCAAGTTGCAGGTTTAAGGCCAAGTTGTGACGGACGCCGAAGAAGTGACGCGTGAGCGACGTCCTCGGTCTGTCTCTTCTATACTCATGTTATAGAAGATTATTATAACAATATTCGCAACATTATTGTTTTAATTCTAATTGCCGTCAATTTCAGCACGAAATTTTTAACTCTCAACACCTTCACCTAAATCGTTTATGGTGTTTAAGAGGTCAGTGTAGGCTGACCCCAGCCTGTAGCCTGTCTCTCTGACCCCAGCCTGTAGCCTGTCTCTCTGACCCCAGCCTGTACCCTGTCTCTCTGACCCCAGCCTGCAATATGTCTCTCTGACCCCAGCCTGTACCCTGTCTCTCTGACCCCAGCCTGTACCCTGTCTCTCTGACCCCAGCCTGTACCCTGTCTCTCTGACCCCAGCCTGCAATATGTCTCTCTGACCCCAGCCTGTACCCTGTCTCTCTGACCCCAGCCTGTACCCTGTCTCTCTGACCCCAGCCTGTACCCTGTCTCTCTGACCCCAGCCTGCAATGTACCCTGTCTCTCTGACCCCAGCCTGTACCCTGTCTCTCTGACCCCAGCCTGTACCCTGTCTCTCTGACCCCAGCCTGTACCCTGTCTCTCTGACCCCAGCCTGCAATATGTCTCTCTGATCCCAGCCTGTACCCTGTCTCTCTGACCCCAGCCTGTACCCTGTCTCTCTGACCCCAGCCTGCAATATGTCTCTCTGACCCCAGCCTGTACCCTGTCTCTCTGACCCCAGCCTGTACCCTGTCTCTCTGACCCCAGCCTGTACCCTGTCTCTGACCCCCAGCCTGTACCCCTGTCTCTCTGACCCCAGCCTGTACCCTGTCTCTCTCTGACCCCAGCCTGCACCCTGTCTCTCTCTGACCCCAGCCTGTACCCTGTCTCTCTCTGACCCCAGCCTGTACCCTGTCTCTCTGACCCCAGCCTGTACCCTGTCTCTCTGACCCCCAGCCTGTACCCCTGTCTCTCTGACCCCAGCCTGTACCCTGTCTCTGACCCCAGCCTGTACCCTGTCTCTCCGTCATGTGAGGAAGGGCCAGGTGGTGGCCACTGGGTAGTGCACTTGGAGGGGTGAGAGGAGGGATGGAGGGGGGGGGTGCCCCAGGTCGGCCAGCACGCCTCCCTCCAGGCACTCACTCCACGCGGCTCAGAAGGAACATTTTGTTGTCTCTGCGCCCTGTATACACGCTCTTATTTTAGTTTCTGCTGCTTGTGTCAGACTCCCTCTTTCCTCGGCCACGTCCTCATCGCTCCCTTCTGCGATGTCTGCCCAGCCCCTCCCCGCCGGTACCCCAGCCCCTCCCCTCCGCGTCTGCAGCCCTCCCCGCCGGTACCCCAGCCGTCCCCCTGCAGCCCTCCAGGTCTTGCCTGACGCCTCCTCTGGTGCCTGTGTCGTGAGCAGTGGCTGCCTCCCCCAGGGCTGCCCTCCTGCCATCATAATCAGGAGAGGCGGCCACACGGGGCGACGTTCCAAACATTGATCCCCAGAGCTCTTCCATGCTCCAGATTAGCTCCAGACTCGTCGTTCTTGGTGTGGTGTGGGTGTTCCAGCTCATCTCCTGCCACTGCTGCTGCTGCTTAGCAGGTCTCTAACCCCGTCCATGGGGGACAGAAGAAAATGTATATGTGCTGGTTAGTATTGTAAATGTGTGGAATAATAATAATAATAATAAACTGCTTCTGGCCAGTTACTAGACGTTCCTAGCAGTTGGGTATATTTTAGTCATTTTAATTCTGGTGGTGTTGGTGGTCGCTCTTAGGCACGGGGCAAGTTCCCGCTCTTTTCATGTTGCTGCTCTTCGGTAGTGTGTGTTCCAATGGCTCTTGGAGCCGACGGCTTACCGGTTATGATGTTCCAGCGCCTCTGTTGCGCTGCTTGTGGACGCTCTTGGGGGGTAACTATGTAATTATCAGAATAAGGCGCCAAGCCGGGAAGACTGTGGAACACGGTCGCTCTTGTGGTAGAGGACGTCCCAGCACCTTCCCTGCGTTGCTCGACACTGTACAAGCGTTGCAGGCAACTGTATAGTCAGGTTGGCGGGGCTCTCATTAGCCAGGGAGGCGTCCACCACAATAGGGCCAAATTAGCTGAGATTATTTTCAGAAAGATTTCTCATTGGTGCCTTTACATTGCACTCTGACCCTCTTTGGCGACCTTTAGAGAGTTATCGGAATGGATTCAATAGTGCTGGACTCTCTGTTGCTATCATGCATGTCATCCATCAATAGTGAGCAACTGAAGCTTCGTTGACAGCTGAGGCTGTGACCACGTTACCACGTTACCACGTTACGTTATCAGCTCGTTACGGTAGGGTTGTGTGAAGCCCTGCAGGAGTACACTACTGCTTGTAACAAGTCGTTGTTGACGGCCAACGAGCAAGGAGAAGCAATTCGGCGCCACCGTTGTCGTCATGACGACAACAAACAAGTGCTTTGGCCAGGTGAAGAGTTGGACTTTATGCCACTTGTTACGTGAGAATACGACCACAAGTTATTGGAGGTCTGAGGAGTAGAAGTAATTTCCTCTTAGTGAGAACCATGAGAAAGAAGAGTCCCGTGAGGAGAGGTTGTGGCCACGAAGACACCGGAGACAGACTGGTACTCACGTCACACCTTGACTATCGAGAACGTTAACTCGACTCTTGAAGAGGCCGATGGAATCTGAGGAGTGTACGAGCTGCGCCTGGGGACACTACGTCTGAGCAGTGATGACTGAGGACACTGCTCCTCGCCCAGCTCCCACACAAGACTCACACAGGTGACGTGCAGTGACGGACTCCGCACCTCTTCATCACTAACTTCAGTCATGAGCAATAACATTGAAATCTCGTTGAATTGACAGACAATTATTCGCGTATGGGGTGAAGGGGAGAATGACCTCTCGTTACTGGTCCCATTTAAACGATGAGCAGCGGCGGTACCAAGTCGCAAACTGCTCTTTATTTAACCAAAGACATTTATACACTCCCGAAGCCTAGCAGTAGGCAACATAATAGACCTTACTAAATAAATCCACATCTCTGGTTTAAGGGCACTGGGAGCCGGACAGCTGAAGGGGCCAGCATAGAGCACAGCTGCACCTACAACAGCACAAGCTGGCAAGTTATGTATTTGACCACGAGAGTGTGTATGAGAGCATGTGTAGGCCGTCGCACGTCTTCATACGGTACTGTGAGAGTTGGCCTTCCGTCCAACACTGTCCACAGTTCACTGTAGTTCAACACGAGACTGTACTCTACATATATATATATGAACCGAGGCCCTACTGGAGGACAGTAGCTGTACTTCTCTAGCTGTAACCCGTCAATACTGTGAGTCTGGCCTGTCTATACCGTGTGCTCGGACCGCACCGTCTGTATTGTGTGAAGTGTAGAGTGAACCCTCTCTAGCCACTTAACCAGTGAGTTATACACACCGCAGCATTAATTCAGGACAACGAGGAGACACGTAAATACAGATCAGCCGTGGTTAAGGATTAGGGCGAGTGTGGTGACTCGGGTCTGAAGAGAGGAAGGTGAGGTGGCACTGTTATCATAATGCTCACCATCACCATCCTCACTCATATCTCCCCAGATTCATTATCATCATCCCCTATACTACACGCTCCCCCTTCCCCCCCCCTCTGGATCACCCCCAGGAGGTGGGCGGAGCAATTCCAGGTTCCTCGTTCCTCGACAGACGTAATTCCTGGAGGATTCCAGCTTTCTGGCGTGGGACGTTGGCTGGTCCAAGGGAAGGTAATGAGAAATAACGGGTTGGCAGGGAGGCGGGCCGCTGCTGGGGGAGGGCAGGAGGAGTCATACGCACCATCACCACCACCACCACCACCAGCAGCAACAGGAAGGAGACTCCTTACACTCAAGGAGTCACTCCAAGGAGCAACATGTATACCTGCAGGGCCCCAGGAACCGCATGAAAGTGTAACGCCGTTATCACATCACAATATCGTCACCATCGTTGTCATTCCCTTTCCAGAGTGGCACGGGGGCTGCCATTCCCATTCCAGAGTGGCACGGGGCTGCCATTCCCATTCCAGAGTGGCACGGGGGCTGCCATTCCCATTCCAGAGTGGCACAGGGCTGCCATTCCCTTTCCAGAGTGGCACGGGGCTGCCATTCCCTTTCCAGAGTGGCACGGGGCTGCCATTCCCATTCCAGAGTGGCACGGGGCTGCCATTCCCATTCCAGAGTGGCAAGGGGCTGCCATTCCCATTCCAGAGTGGCACGGCTGCCATCCCTGGCTGCAACATCTGTTATGACGGAGAGAAACCAGCAATTCCGTGCCTCCGGCTTCCATTTCCGGTGCCAGGCGTCTCCATCAATATTACTGCAACGCTTTACCTCCACTTTTATGTGACCTTTCGTCGAGAGGTCATCCCTACTGCCCAGTGTGACACTGACATGCTGCCTGCCCGCCCGCCTGCCTGCCCGCCTGCCCGCCTGCCTGCCTGCCTGCCCGCCCGCCTGCCTGCCCGCCTGCCTGCCCGCCTGCCTGCCTGCCTGTCTGTCTACCTGCCTGCCTGACCGCCTGCCTGCCTGCCTGCCTGCCTGCCTGCCCGCCCGCCTGCCTGCCCGCCTGCCTACCCGCCTGCCTGCCTGCCTGTCTGTCTACCTGCCTGCCTGACCGCCTGCCCGCCTGCCTGCCTGCCTGCCCGCCCGCCTGCCTGCCCGCCTGCCTGCCCGCCTGCCTGCCTGCCTGTCTGTCTACCTGCCTGCCTGACCGCCTGCCTGCCTGCCTGCCCGCCCGCCTGCCTTCCCGCCTGCCCGCCTGCCTGCCTGCCTGCCTGCCTGCCTGCCAGGCCTCCCTCTCCCTCCCCTCTCTCTCTCTCTCTCTCTCTCTCTCTCTCTCTCTCTCTCTCTCTCTCTCTCTCTCTCTCTCTCTCTCTCTCTCTCTCTCTCTCTCTCTCTTTCTTTAGAGCCCGGCAAAGTTTTGACCATTAATAGTAGTGCAGGAGGGAGTGGGTCATCCATCACCAGCAGCGGGGAAATGCTTCACCGGCTCTAAACACAATAACAATATTTTCATTAGTAAACACAGCTCAGGATATTCTTCAATGGTAAATCAAAATACCCGCCCCCCGCAAGCCAACCCCTTCCTGTGTACCCCAGAACCTCAGCCAACATTCTCGATTGTACTGCAGTGGGGTTGAGAGGGAGAGTGGGGCTGAGAGAGTGGGGCTGAGAGGGAGAGTGGGGCTGAGAGGGAGAGTGGGCTGAGAGGGAGAGTGGGGCTGAGAGAGTGGGGCTGAGAGGGAGAGTGGGGCTGAGAGGGAGAGTGGGCTGAGAGGGAGAGTGGGGCTGAGAGGGAGAGTGGGCTGAGAGGGAGAGTGGGGCTGAGAGGGAGAGTGGGCTGAGAGGGAGAGTGGGGCTGAGAGGGAGAGTGGAGCTGAGAGGGAGAGTGGGGAATGATTCTGTAGCTGCTATTACGTAATTGCCATTAATTCTGTTACCAGCTCTCCGAGACGTGGTGGGAGAGTCGCCCCCTGCAGCCAACAGGTTATTCCTTCCTCACAGGCGGTACACCAGCAGCAGGCTGTGGTACACCACCAGCAGGCTGTGGTACACCAGCAGCAGGCTGTGGTACACCACCAGCAGGCTGTGGTACACCAGCAGCAGGCTGTGGTACACCAGCAGCAGCAGGCTGTGGTACACCAGCAGCAGCAGGCTGTGGTACACCACCAGCAGGCTGTGGTACACCACCAGCAGGCTGTGGTACACCAGCAGCAGGCTGTGGTACACCACCAGCAGCAGGCTGTGGTACACCACCAGCAGGCTGTGGTACACCAGCAGCAGCAGGCTGTGGTACACCACCAGCAGCAGGCTGTGGTACACCACCAGCAGCAGGCTGTGGTACACCACCAGCAGGCTGTGGTACACCAGCAGCAGCAGGCTGTGGTACACCAGTAGCAGCAGGCTGTGGTACACCACCAGCAGCAGGCTGTGGTACACCACCAGCAGCAGGCTGTGGTACACCACCAGCAGCAGGCTGTGGTACACCACCAGCAGCAGGCTGTGGTACACCACCAGCAGGCTGTGGTACACCAGCAGCAGCAGGCTGTGGTACACCACCAGCAGCAGGCTGTGGTACACCACCAGCAGCAGGCTGTGGTACACCACCAGCAGCAGGCTGTGGTACACCACCAGCAGGCTGTGGTACACCACCAGCAGGCTGTGGTACACCAGCAGCAGCAGGCTGTGGTACACCAGCAGCAGCAGGCTGTGGTACACCACCAGCAGCAGGCTGTGGTACACCACCAGCAGCAGGCTGTGGTGCACCACCAGCAGGCTGTGGTACACCAGCAGCAGCAGGCTGTGGTACACCACCAGCAGCAGGCTGTGGTACACCACCAGCAGCAGGCTGTGGTACACCAGCAGCAGCAGGCTGTGGTACACCAGCAGCAGCAGGCTGTGGTACACCACCAGCAGCAGGCTGTGGTACACCACCAGCAGGCTGTGGTACACCAGCAGCAGCAGGCTGTGGTACACCACCAGCAGCAGGCTGTGGTACACCACAGCAGCAGGCTGTGGTACACCACCAGCAGGCTGTGGTACACCAGCAGCAGCAGGCTGTGGTACACCAGCAGCAGCAGGCTGTGGTACACCAGCAGCAGCAGGCTGTGGTACACCAGCAGCAGCAGGCTGTGGTACACCAGCAGCAGCAGGCTGTGGTACACCAGCAGCAGGCTGTGATACACCACCAGCAGGCTGTGGTACACCAGCAGCAGCAGGCTGTGGTACACCACCAGCAGCAGGCTGTGGTACACCAGCAGCAGCAGGCTGTGGTACACCAGCAGCAGCAGGCTGTGGTACACCACCAGCAGCAGGCTGTGGTACACCACCAGCAGCAGGCTGTGGTACACCAGCAACAGCAGGCTGTGGTACACCACCAGCAGCAGGCTGTGGTACACCACCAGCAGCAGGCTGTGGTACACCACCAGCAGCAGGCTGTGGTACACCACCAGCAGCAGGCTGTGGTACACCACCAGCAGCAGGCTGTGGTACACCACCAGCAGCAGGCTGTGGTACACCACCAGCAGCAGGCTGTGGTACACCACCAGCAGGCTGTGGTACACCACCAGCAGGCTGTGGTACACCACCAGCAGGCTGTGGCACACCACCAGCAGGCTGTGGTACACCACCAGCAGGCTGTGGTACACCAGCAGGGGCGTCATACTCGGACTAACTCACGAGACCTGAAGCAAACACCTGTTGTGAAATTTCTCATTTCCTGTTCAGCTATCATGGCTGGCTGATGGGTGGCTGTGTGGTGGCTGGTGGGTGGCTGTGTGGTGGCTGGTGGGTGGCTGTGTGGTGGCTGGTGGGTGGCTGTGTGGTGGCTGGTGGGTGGCTGTGTGGTGGCTGGTGGGTGGCTGTGTGGTGGCTGGTGGGTGGTTGTGTGGTGGCTGGTGGGTGGCTGGTGTGTGGCTGGTGTGTGGCTGGTGGGTGGCTGGTGGGTGGCTGGTGGGTGGCTGTGTGGTGGCTGTGTGGTGGCTGGTGGGTGGCTGGTGGGTAGCAGGTGGCTGGTGGGTGGCTGGTGGGTGGCTGGTGGGTGGCTGGTGGGTGGCTGGTGGGTGGCTGGTGGGTGGCTGTGTGGTGGCTGGTGGGTGGCTGGTGGGTGCCTGGTGTGTGGCTGTGTGGTGGCTGGTGGGTGGCTGGTGGGTGGCTGTGTGGTGGCTGGTGGGTGGCTGGTAGGTGGCTGATGGGTGGCTGTGTGGTGGCTGGTGGGTGGCTGGTGGGTGGCTGGTGGGTGGCTGGTGGGTGGCTGTGTGGTGGCTGGTGGGTGGCTGGTGGGTGGCTGGTGGGTGGCTG